TGCTTATGGAAATACTAGATATTTAATACAACATATTAAGTAAGAGTATAGTACAATTTAACAAATAACTAACATTATTAGTTCGAGTTCTTTCCGTGAAAACATAGAATGTTACAGTAAAAACACTAACGCACCAAAATATAATAAAAACTGCCGTCAAACTCTGTCTTAATATCTAACCTTTGTTAACAAGGATCCCGTAGTTTCACTGATATAAAGTCGATCGCAACGTTTTCAGTTTAGAAATTCAGGTATTCTGTCCAAAAATAAATCGAAAGGAATTAAACGAAAAAATATAGATCGATTTAATATCGATATTTTCGACCTTAAATAACAAGACACAACATATATATCAGTCTCGTAATTTTGAAATAACGATTTAAGCGTCTGGACGATAAAGCGTTAACGCTTAAAAATTTCATCGGTACAGAGAAACGCCTCGTTCGAGTCAGAATCCAGACTGCGTAACTTCCCCGTTTTATTCCGTCATTTCCGGCGTAATACCGAGAATCTTTTCCTGGCTTTACTACAGGAACGATCGAGAGGAGACACCGTAGTCAGAGCGGCGTAAGCGACTCTAGGAATATACGCCATGGGAATAGAAAACAATCGATGGAGATTCCCTGAGCGCCGATAGAAACGGCGTGGCGGAGCCAAGTGGATTCGATCCTGTGAAAAAACAACGCCTGACGGGAAACGAGGCGATAAATCCTCGAAGAGAGCCTTTAACGAATCCTGTTTCCTCCTCGCGATTTCCAATTATCGTGAAGAAAGTTCCGTCCCTTTCAGCCATTCCTATTACATTAAGAAAATTTGTAAAAAACCACTGTCACCAGGAAATTCTTAGAAACAGATGAATTAAAAGACCAAAAATGTAAATACAAAGTGGTTTCGTCGACAGAAATATTTAGGCACAATCACATTTTTAGGAATTTCAAAATATGGACATTTTAGGGACATCTTTCCAAGACTGAGAAATGTTCGATTTCTTTTCGCCGTTACACCGATCTGACCCGTTAACCAATACAGCCGAGACAAATAGCCACAGAGAGCACACATACACGAGTTGGCTCGTCTCCCTGTCACCTAAACAAAATGTCCCGTAATCTGACCACTCAGAGCGGAAAATAAACGTCGGACGGAACGAAGTTAAAATGTGTCTCGGGGCAAAAGTGGACCGGCAAGAAGTCACTGGTCTCCATTACAACTGGAATTCCACGAGTGTGTCAGACCATTTTCCATCGTCATCCCTCCACATTTTTTCCCTCCAAATAATTGAAATAACTCGAACCAAGCGAGATGTTCCTTAAAAGATGAACCCCTCGGCCGACATAAACGACGAGACGGTAATAACAGGGAGTAACAGTGAGATCCGGTTTCTTGCCCCGTAAAAGACACGCCTGTTCGGTAGCGAGCATAACGAGACCATTTTTTGTCCCGTCGTCGAATAGCAGCAACCTCGCCCCTGTTTCTTCCACCATCGTCCTCAAGGGTTTCTACGTTGTATCGCCAAAGGATCTCGATGCGAAGACAAACGACACTCGAGTGGAATATCCCCGTCGCTGATCAGACATCACGAACCAGACCTTTTATTCTTCTTCCAGCAAATACTTCCTCCGATCCTTTTTCTAACCCAAATAGGTAAACATTCGAACGTTCCTCGAATCGATATTACAGAGTTCGATTTCGTGTATCCAAGATGGTTAATTAATACTGTCTGTATATCATTGTTATTTCAGAAAGAAGGGGAAAATTGACAATTCTTTTCGGTTTGCATGGTTTCAAGTGTAAGATAATATAACAGGAATAGTAGTTTTTAATGGTACCTTTTTTAATGGTACGATTCCTTCGATAATATAAATCTGTAGAACGATCAATTATGATCAACGAGTGGCTCTGGAACCGTTTGTTTTCGAGATACGGAAGATCAACATTTTTTTTTTTTTTTTTGTTCATTTAGGAGGGATTTGTTGTCTGAAGTACTGATACGCTGTGTTTATAAATGAACCGGGTAGAATATTCCCAGAGAGCCACAAGGATAATTGTTTCTCGACCGAATGGTGTTTTAATCGAAATGCTAATTGTTTAACGAGCGTTGTTCCCGCCTGGACAGTCTGTTTCGTATTCGATTAACACGCGTCACGGGAGAATCAACTTTTATCCAATCACAGGGGCGAGGGGGCGAAAGTAATTAACCGATGACGGCCAGTGGTCCTCCACGAATTTTAATGGAGGCTACTGGCGGCACACGAAACTTTCGGAACACCTACAAAATGGCCGTCGCGCGTACGCCTAGCGGAAACGAGCCGTCAAGTGGCGTATTTCACATGCTGCAATGGTGCATGAAGTTATTACTAGGCTGCGGAATTTTATACAAAATGTTACTTTTATGAAGTGATTCATAAAGATAAGAACAAAGGTAGGGATTTCTTGGTTCCCGTGAGTATCTTATTAAGAATAGAAATATTCTATAATTAAATATTAATAATAGAAGTTTTACGGATGCTTACACTGTTGAGTTAATCGTCGATTAAAATTAATCATAATAATGACGCCTTAAAGACGGCTTAAAGGCGCCTTAGACCAAAAAATAGCCGTAAAATGGGCGTTTCCAAGACGTTATTAGAAAGTATCGCGTGTGTTCGCGGAAGGACGAACGTCTGCGACAATGTGTGACAGTATCCTTGGACGAAAATAATGGCGGCTCTAGTCCAGGAATTTCCCCCATGAACTTTCCGGCTGTTTATTAAAGCTGCCACTCGAAAGTCACGCAGTGTCTAGCCGAATCGATACCCGGTATCTCTGCAACTTTCTCTTCGAATAGACAATTCCGAGTAGAGATTCGAAATGAAACTGTCCGTGATCTTCTACTGTCGCGGTGACTACTGCGAATGACGTTTCTCGATGATTTCACTGATCAACGATGAGATCTTGGGACAACAATCGAGAATAACATCACTAACACTGAAGACTTCTTCGGCAAGAATACCATTAGGTCCTACTCTCCACGACTGCAAAAGGGCACTGGCCACCAATTTTTAATAAAATATACGAACTGAAAAGTATCATTCCGTAAAAAATCCCAGATATATTGAAGGCACGAGCACCGATAGAATCTTGGGACAATAATCGAGACTAAAATCACTAACACCGATGACTTCTTCGCCAAGAACACCATTAGGTCTTACTCCCCACGACTGCAAAAAGAGAACTGACCGCCGACCTGTAATAAATGAAACGAACTGGAAAGTACCGTTCCGTGAAAAATCCCAAATGTGTCGAAAGCCAATCAGATCGTGAGAGGACAGTAACCGTTGGCGTTCGATCTGCGTCGTATACCAAGCGCCATTACGTCGACTCGCGGCTCGAAAACACGGCCGCCTGGAGAGCTATTTCCGGCGCTCCTTGATGACCATACAAAAGAGGCCTGTCGAGAACACATAGGTAGCTCAACAGGTAGCTCGGAAAGTGCCTTTCTCCCCATCCCTCCCCTCCACACTTTCGTCCCCGCCGTTCTGTTCCTTTTATGCTCGTCGAGCGTCCCTCGTGTTCTACGCACGCACCATCCGCCCTGGAATTGACATTTTCCTACGCAACGAGTGCCTCGTAATTTCCAGGCTGTTACCATCGACTGATTCGAGGGTGGAAATACCAGCGGAGAGCGCGTTCCGTTCGATAGGATGTGCACCGTGTGCCGAGCAGAGACTGTATATAACATCCACTTATAGCATAGGTGAATACGTAGACAACACAGTAACAGGAAACTTTCACGAGGATCAATAAAACTTTCATTGCAGTTCTTTCAACTCGATGAACATCTCGGTGATATTGATTTCTCTTTTGGACTGGCTATTTTGAACCAGCCCGTGGTAATAGGAACCCGCGTGAATATTATGAAACGAATCGATTCACGTCATTTGTGATTATGAAAACGGTTTAAAAATTATTCGGAGCTCGGATTATCGAGTAGAGTAACTTACTGGGGATTCCACACTGCAGGCTCGGCCCGAAATGCAGTTCATGTATCGACACAATTCATGAAGCACAGAAATCGTGTCCATCTACAACTGCTCCGAAGCGCTCCTGGATTTCTAGGGTTAGTCGAAAATTTACTGTACATACCTAGTTCCCACGCGTCTGACCGAGGAATTCGAGCGGAACCACCGGATCTAGGACAAGCCGAGAGAAAAGAATAAAAAAAAAGAGCATGTCCTGGCAGAGTGGATCTCCATCCTTAACGTGTTCACGGATGCCCAGGCACGCCCGTCGAGATCCGTTATTCGGCCATCGGTAACGCGAATGAATATTCAATCGACCGTCGGAGCTCGCCTGATAACTGATAATCCCCTTCGCGCTCGAAATAGCCGGGATTCGTGGCGTGCTGAAAGAGGATTCCGCTAGAATTCGCGGTACGGCCGCCCCCGTTCCCCTCTTTCATTCGAAGCGAACGATGAGATATCGAAGACCCGTCGGATTTGCCCCATCCCGAATAGGTGGTCCAGAGTTTGCAGAAGTTTGACGAACGTACACGACGATCCGCTAAACTCCGAGTACACTCTTCCGTTCGTCGATGCTTTCGCTGTTGACAGTTTGATCCACCTGGCGATTGTTCGGTAAACGTCTCGGTACGAACGTGATAATAACAGAAACTCTGTTGCGGTCATGAAACAAAGAACAAATAATTAATTAGACTCTCTGTGAACATCGAAAAGCCTGTTAACTTGATGAAGAATTAAAAGTAGCACCGACAATACGAGATACCCTACAAATTTGTTACTTTATCTGTGATCCGTTTTATATTTTCTCTGCAAAAAGTTATTATACGACGTACATGTTTATACTTTGTCCAGAATGAATCAATCGCAGCTGAATCGGTATTCTAAAGACGTCTAGCATTAGCTACTATGGTGTATCAGTTCAGAGGCCCTGAAGTCCTAAGCACAAACGCTTCCCGAGCAAGGCAACTCCCTTCGACCTAATACCTCAACAATAACGGAGCCTCAAAACTCCAAGGCCGTTCTGTCGCCAGAATCCCGTAGATCCCCCGATCGATCACCCGCGCCAGGCATCAACAGCAAATCCCTGGCCATTTCCAGTAGCTCCAGCTCGTTCTTCCTGGCCAGATCTTGGATCATCTGAACGCCCGTTAGCTTCCTGATCCTCTCGCGGTTCTCTTTACCAACTATCACATCGTATCCATCGTCTGTTTTACCCAACAGACTGTCGTCTCTGCGTTCTATCACATAGGTAACGTCGGTGTTGACAGTCTTCATGGACGTCGAGCTCGTCCCGCGTTTCGTTCCTGGTTCCTCGTCCTCGACATTACTGCCAGTTTTACGAGCTATCTCCTCCAAGTCCTCTTCAACGTCCTCGATGACCGTGACGTGTTCGCCGTCAACCGACGACGAGCTGGAGGACTCTTCGCTGAAGTAAGAACTGGACCCGCTGGCCTTCTCCTCGACCCTGAACGTGTCACCTCCGCGACCGACTGGCTCCTTTTCAAGATTCGACCTTGCAGTGCTGTCACGACACGATCTCGGCAAGCTCCTTTCCGTCTGCATCGTTATCTCCTCGTCGACGTCGACTGACGCGTCGCTGCTCGAACCACCGTCCCGATACTTCATGATCACCCTCTTCTGGGCGAACATCGTAGTGATCACGGTCTTCGTACGGTTGGCGAACCGTCTCGACTGTTCCTCGTCCTTTTTCGTTCTTGTCGAATGAGTGTTCGATTCCCCGCCGCCGTTACACCCGTTCACGTCCGTGATCCTACGGAGAGCGCAGGCCACCTGATCGATCAGCTCACGGATGTAGGACAGCATCGGGGTGTCGCCCTCCTCCTCGGTGATGTTCGCGGCGATCTGAAGCTCCGTCGACGCGTCCGTTAGTCTTCCCAGCCTCGCCAGGCTTTGACCTACGGATGAATTTAAATTGTGTTAATCGACGACATGGGCGAACTTTGAGAATAGGATTTTTCATGATCCTGTAGAACTTTGGACCCTTTCGTGTTCTCTAACGGAGTGTATATCGAGGTTCGTTGACTTTGAAAAGTCGAAACTCGTGAACTGGATGTTCGAGGGTATGCTGAAGTGTAATCCACACTGATTGTGCTGCGGTAAATCTAACTCTTATCCTTGGTCAGACTACCGGTCATCCACGGCTCGAGTGTGGAATGAACGGCATTAAACGTTCACCGCGGATTAACGGTACCAGCTTTCGTGGCCCTGTGTGCTACCCTCTATTAGTATTCCGGGATTTCGGATGTAAATCGTGCTTAGGTTGGAAATTGATTCACCGCCGGTCGGATTCCAAGCTCGTCAGAGATTCGATAGGCTGGTTTTGGTTATGGACTGTTTAGAGGTTCGAGTATTGTATGGGCCAATGGATTAGGTGAATCGGTTCCCGACAAGCAACTGGATACAGAGTATTCCTCGTTGTGTGTATCCAACAATGTTTTGTTTCTTTGACAGTACAATCACCCCCTGGCTACTCGAGGTAGAAGAAATCCAACAAAAAGATGGCGTTTCGTCTCGGGAATCGTCTACCAAGACTCGTCAGTGGGGCTGATGGTATACGACCCCTACCCCAGACGCCTGGATTGCTCCTCGGCGAAGCCCCTTAAGTAGCCAAAGGCTCTAATTACCGCTAGCGAAAAACCTCGCCACCTAACAGCCGCTACCGATAACCCAAGCGACTGGGAGAAACGTCTCCACACACCGCCTGTCCCATAAGATCTCCTACAACATCAAGTATCGGATAATCCTCTGACGAAATGGGATAGAACCGAGCACTAGATGGCTGATTCTCAAAAAAGAAAAACAGACCAAGAAACCTAAAGTTCCCTGGATCCTCACCTAGCAGAAGCTTTCCATGAAGCAACCACTTCGTAGAACGAGCCTCTATGGCCGCCTCCACGCACTTGATCGCCATCTCCATCGCCTCCACGTGTTTCCCCGCCTCCGAGTAACACCGTCCGATCTCATGTCTGATCCAAGCGACAGGAATCGGTTCCTTCAGATCGCCAGCCAGGTGTTTCCAGGCCCTGGCTGCTGCGTTCAAGTGTCCGAAACTGAGATGCACCTTGCCCAGAGTGACGAACGACCGGCAGATCTGCACCACGTTCCCGGTGCTCTTCGACAACCGTATCAGTCGCGACACATTGGACACCGCGCGATCGTGCCGTTTCAAGGCGACGTGGATCAGCGACAGATAGTGGTACGCGGCTATCTGATAGCGGCTCGGGTCCTCGAGGGCCCCAGACACCATCAGCAATTCTTGCGCCACCTTCATGGAGATGGTCATCCGGCCGGAATTGAACGTCGACTCGAGATCACGTAGATACTGATCGGCCACGTTGCTCATCTGTCTTAGCATCGCTCTTGTTTGCGCCAATTTCGGATTCGAGGGCCGTGGTGTCGGCGGGCACTTCCAGAAGCTCTTGTGATCCTCGAAGTAGCTGGAAAGCCGAGAGTTTTGATTAGAATAGGATTGAGTGGGAATTAAAGAGACCGTTGGACGTTAAATTTTAGGGGGGACTATGTGAAAGGCTCCGTCTGGATTAACAGCCGGATGGACAGATTAACAGGATTCTAGGTTCAAATTACGCGAGTCCGAGAGAACAAAAGGATATAATGGATTTAAATGAAGTGCTTCCATTGTAATCACTGGTCTTCGGACGAAGGATCTGAAGTGAATCCGACTGTAGGTATCAATGAGATTAATATATACTGGGTCCTCGGGGCTCAACGCTACGTTCTTGGTGATACCGGTTGAGACTGTAAGCCGAGTCTGTATAGAGCCTTACTCAGACATTTCGGGTAGTTTAATCCCGGAGGTATAGGGACAGGTTCATACTGTCCTCGAATGTATCGATGTCTAGGTAAGACTTAAAGCCTCTGGACTTACAGCACTGACAGATCCTACTTTGTAGGTGGTCTACACATAGTAGACACGTTCGTTAACGATTAAACAGGTCATATTATGGATAGAGTAAAGGGTACTGTAACAGGTGGACACTACAAACATGTTCACTGTTTCATAAACTATCCTAGAGTGCTTATAGAGTCATGTGATTATTATAGTGCTGAATGTCTAACAATCCAACCATTCATTAAGACTATAGACCCACATCGAGAACTATTTCTCAATACCTTCAAATTGTCGTAGATCGTTAAATTCAAACTAATGTGATTCATCACGTTTATTTAACAATTAATAAATAAATAAATTGATTGACGAATGATATACCTCAAAGCTTCGACCACCGAGGCATGATCCGGCGACTTCTTCAGCTTATCGTTCGCCAAAATGGCGGCCGTCTCGGGGCACAAACTCGCCATCAAACGTTCCTCCGATCTGGCGAACGGCACAGCCTTCCGCAACGCTTTCGACGGTTTATTGCAGGAATTTATCGTCGCCATGGTACGCGTGGCGGCCACGCTGTGACTGCTGTCCCGTGGAAACGAACTCGCTGCCCGATGGTAAAGCACCAACGCGGACTCGTAATCGCCTCTGCAAAATTGACCAATCGACCAATTGAAATTATGCGATCAATTATGGACGATGTGTGGAGTTGCCCGTGGACCAAATTAAAATTTAAAAAAAATAAACTACATTAATGTATTATATAATATATTAATAAATTTTAATTGTAAATGTAATTACATAATTGAATTCGACACGAAATCGCATAGACCCCGAACAGTGAAATAACTTTTACATCGAGTTACAATTCAGATTCACGTATTCGTTCCCGGCTAGTCCATCCGGCGGTTAAAACCTGCGCGCGCCGTCTGTGGGTTAATTAACTATGCGAAAGTGATTAAACGATACCGTACGGTCGGTCGAATAATCGTACCAGCCCGTTCCAAAGGAATAAATTAATTTCGCTGATTAAATCGTTAAAACCACGCAGGAACAATGCCTGAATGAGCGAGACCGCTCGCGAAACGCGGTTGAATTGCTCGCCGATACAACAAACGATAATCTCGTTTCACGGCGAGATGGAACTAACGAGGTCATCTTTGTCTAGTCCTCCACGAGATATTGGCGTGCTCGTAAATTAACACATCGACAAACGACACCGACTAGATGTGACTTCGACGCATTTTTGGGTTGTATTTAAAGCTGTAACGTCACAGACCCAGTTCCTGATCAGTTTAGTGTATTTATAATGAAGGTTTTTTGCCAAAAAATTTCTAAATAATTTTGAATAGCTTTAAAATTTAACAGTTCAGAATGAGATACAGATATATATGATTTAGATGATCAGAAATTGCCTTGCACTTCTTACTTGAAAAGTTAAATCGTAATGTAATTATTACTATTTCTGCACTTTTCTAATACCAAATTAAAGATGAAACATAGATTTATTCGAGTAACAACAATTCTTGTGGATTTGGTTAATTTATCTAGTTGTGCGTTTAAAAAATGACGATAGTTATTCATGATCAGGAATTGGATTCGTGGTACGATAGGATCAAAAGTAATAAAACGGAGAAGACTGTGGTTCGTTTACTTCAAGGGTGATTGTAAATTCTGCGTAATATTTGGAATATTTTAATGAACTTTAACTTTTCACAGGCTGTTATCGAAAGAACTATCTTTGATCTGAATTGGCATTTTACGATTCTTAACGACCCGCGAGCCTCCTTATCTACTTTGTTTTTTTACGAAAAATCCCTGTCTTCTGACGTGCTGAACACGTGTTTACGTTAACGCTCGGCTGATTTTCGGATCACGGTGTATCTCCATGGTCGTCTATAAACGAACTCATTATCTTGTATCTACTAAGTTGTCAACCCGTTCTTTTCACATTCTTTTTAACATTGTTGCAGAATAACAAGACCGAAGATCAAAGATCCGTGGTCTAATTACACGATCCATCGCTTCGTGCTACCGCGAGCCAGATTCAAAGCATCGAACCGAAACACATGTAGCATAAACTACGGTCTAAGTTAACCCTTTAACGCCCAGAAACCTTAAATAATTATTTCAAAATTACTACACTGATACGTACATTGTATCTCTTTATTTTGAAGTCGAAAATATCAACATTAAACAAACCTATTTTTCAGAAAACCAGAAGATCTACTTAACATCAATGAAACTACGTATCCGTGCTGACAAAAGCTAAATATTAACCGGTAACAAAATTTGTCATCACCGTCACCAGTGGAACACTGAGCGTTAAAGGGTAAAAACAAAAAAAAACCGGAAAGAAAACGAGTGGCAAAGATCAAACAGGTTGCACAGGATCCATAAATTTCCGCCGTGTTAAAACAGTCTTCAAGGCGGGCTCCTTAAAAAACGGGAAAGGGAATTACTAATGGCAATAAAAAAAAGCGAGGGTGCGGGAATGAATTCGAAGGACGTTGTTATCATCGTCGCCTTGCAGACCCATCTCTACGCAATCGTGAATTCCGAATGTATAAATTCCCCCGTCGTCGTCGAACGAGAAATTTCCAATTCCGTTTGTTGCGCCTGGCAATCGTCGGAGGGGGTTGAGAGGGGGCACCGATGCGAGAACTTTCGCCGCGAATATGGTAATTTCTTACCTGTGGTAGAGTTGATCGCCCTCGCGATGAAGTGCCCGCGCGTAGACACGATTCGTTCGCTTAGCGACCGTGGTGTCGTTCCTCTTCTGCTCGGACCTGGCGCGATTCTCCGCGGTCTCGACCGCCTTCCTAACCTCGTTCAGGTCGAGCAGCTCGTCCTTGATGCCTTTCGTCGCGAGGAGAGCCATCGATTTTTCGCTCTGAAACTTCTCACGTCGTACACATTAGTCACGGATGCCATGCACACACCTGTGAAGCTCTCTTTCCATCGGTCCAACAGCCTCGAAAATCGAACCGTTCGAATCGATTCACGGGCCGACGACTCCATTATCCGTTGCGTTTCCACGTTCAGATTGCCTGGACCAGTTACTATTTAGGAAGAACTGCGTTCGATTGAAACAGAATTACGGAAACTGAAAGCTTAGGTGGAGTTTACAAAATCTGGAAAAAGCTAGAAAATACAATTGTGCTGAGAACTTTTGCGAAATAGTTAAATAGAAATCTGAATGGGGATGAACTTTAACTACGGCCATTTTGTTTAGTCGCCGTTTAACGTACCACGTGACAACGGTCGCCGTTTTGTTTCTTGTGCTGGAGACAGATTTGTCAGATTGATTCTAGAACACGTGAATTTGCAGAGGGATTCACGGTGTATTCAAACGAACGAAAGTGTAGGCATGCATCTTTTGAAGCCTCTTTGAAGCTTTTTATCGCGTCCTTAACAATAAAAAGTAACACCTGACGCAAAGTTATAATTAGGCACGCATGTTTCTGTATTCACAAACAGCTCGATACATTTACCAACATTTACTCAAACAGGGACTTGAACGATTAATCTCACGGCAATAACGTTTACAAATGTATAGGACCCGCGGGAAACACGACGCGTTCCCGGTTAATTGTAAAGTATCACAGGCGACCGCTGGAAGACACGAACTTTTCCAGTAGGAGCAAGAATCTGATATTCCCCGTAAACTTCTTAGACGGATTCGATAATGCAGTCCTCGAAGAAGCCCCACGACTTTCGATTTAACGGTGCGCTGGCAGACAACGGGGAAGTTATCCCATTAGGGGCGGCGATTTTCGATGGTCTGATAAACTGCCCGACGTCTATTCGATGGCGTCACAAAAGTGACTAAGATGGAGCATAGTGTCGCGTTATATCACGATAAATCCATTTTCCTGCAGATTCCAGAGTGTCAACGTGTTAGTCAGAACTATCCGCCAAAGAGCAGACCGAAATTTCTGTCTTCCGTAAAGTGAGCGCGGGGTCAACAAGCTCTCCATCAGGCGCCGATGGCTCGAGGCACCCTAAAACTTTAATTGAACGGCGTGTATAAAATTTCCAGCTCGCAGCAACTTCGTCGGTAAAGTTCAACGAAGATTGCTCACTGTTCATCTCGCTTTTACTCACGCGTTCCTCCGATCAACAGCTCCAATGGAGGCATCCAAGGGTTGGATCAAACCAGGACAAGTTATACCGGTCTCATTCGGTGGTCTTCTTGGACGTTAATATACCTTCCCTTCGACAACTCGTACCAGATCTTATTCAGAGTCCTCTGAAGAATTCATACATCTTCATCGAACCGTCATGGAAACTCCATAGACCACATCGAACCCCAACGGATCATCTTCAGTCGAACTCGTTGAAGTCGATATACCCTGGCCTTTCTTTCGACAGCTCGTATCGGGCCAAAAATGCCTTCCTGGCTTCCTTTTCGGGATCCCTCGCGGGACTAGGCAGAATGCTTTTTCGTTTGCACGCGAGCTTGAATTTTTTGTCGACAGGCTTGCAGCCAGGCATCACAGACAGCCTCCGTTTGGCTGGCACCGTTTCCATGGTTCTCCAAAGGTAATCGACTTCCGGTTTCATGTCGTCGGGCATCAGGTCGAGGATCAACTGCTGCCTGGTCGCTATCGGGTCCTGATCCGACATCTTCTCCATGTCAGTCTCGTCGATCATGTCCAGCATACGTATGTAGAAATCGACCAGGAAGTCGAGACCGAGCTTCTTCGCGCTGCCGATCGCCAACACCGCGGCCTCTTTCGCCTCGTTCCGATAGTTCTGGGAAATCTCGATCCTGAGGATTAGATGATGGACATTCAATACCCATTGTTCGCTGTTCGCTATCTCGCTGGCCACGTGGGCCTTCTTCCCGTAGAATCGGGCGAGATCGTAGCGACGTATGTCGATCAGGAACTTGCAGAGCTCGTGGAAGAGCCAAGCGAGCTCGAGTGGTTCCGACGCCATTGCCAGCCTCCTGTCGGAGAAGTAAAGAGAATGGTGAATAATAAAATGTAAAGAAGACCGTCGTAAAATGGTACGCGCGACACCGTCAAACCGGCAGTTCTCGTTCCGATAACAAAGTTGTTTGATGGTTCTTGAAATTGACTTTGTTGACTACCAATGCTTTTACTACCGGCTACTATCCGGCAACGAAACCACACGACACAGAGATAACAGTTACAGAGACTTCGGATGATTTTTTATGACTCCGAAGAGTTATTTGTTGTAATAACAAGAGTCGTCGAACAATTAAGGCTTCGCGATAATCTGATTCCGTGTCACTTTTACCGTAAGAAAAGAATCAGTCTGATCGAAAATGTTTTTGAACTGCTAATAACAGAGTAATGTCTAGTGATCACGATTCGTGGTTCACCCAGTATACATATATACATATATATATACATATATACATATATATACTCTCTCGACTTATAAGTGCTTCAAGAAACAACGGGAATGGACGATGCACGAAGAGGCTCTTACTTCCGAAAGACCCTGAGCGCCTCTTTCCCGCTACGAGCGTGCACCCAACCGATGTCGCAGTCGCGTGGCAATTCCGCCACCCGTATTCCCAGATGGTGCTTCAGATACGTTTTCTTCAGCTCCTTGGTCTTCAAGCTCCTCAGATCACGGGTGTCGATGTACGCCCAGGCGACCATATTGTAAACCGCGTCCAGACACTTCTGTCTCAACGGGAACATCTTCAGGGTGTAGGCATCGAACTTGTCTTTCACACGATCGACAGTACTAAAGGGAATCGCGAAATTGAAATAACAATTTCGATGTTTCGATAAAAAGAAAATCCTGTGTCCCCAAAAATCCTCGAGAAGAAAGTCGACTCACTGGAAAAACGTGACGTAATCCTTGCTCATACGTATACGATGCAGACGACGTAACAGAAAGTCCGCCTCGATGATTATCACATTCCGCCTAAGAGTCTTCTCCGCCTCGATCATCCTCTTATGACCGCTCGGTATGGCGCGTCGCTTGAAGAGCTTCACGTAGAGTGGCTGACGCATTCGTATGATCTGCATCCGGGTCTCCGCCCTTCGATAATTCTTCATCACGTGATAACACAGGAGATCGACGGATTTCTTGTTCGGATGATCCAAATATTCCGGTTGCTCGTACAAACGTTGCAGGAAAGATTTGTCCACGGCCAAATGGCCGAGATAAACTTTCGCTATATATGTCTGCAGCCTCCGGAACTGGGCCTCCGCCTGAGCTTCCTGGTCGTTTACCTTGAACCTAGCCTGCTCTTCTTCTATCCCTGAAACAACAGTGAAATATTGATTTCTTTCGGTTCAACATCCTTAATCCGAATTGCTTCTCCGTCTTACACCGAAGATAAAGATTTGTTTCAATTTGAACTTCCGGCACGAAGGGAACTTCCGATTTTAAGACCTACAAGACCCGAAATAGAATTTAAACACGGCTCACAAGGTGAAGCGGTAACAAGTCTCGGGGGGGGGGAGGGGTTGGGAGGGTTTAAAACATGTTATAAAGAAATATAACACCGGTCTGCTGAAACTTCACCCGGAGCTACGGAATTAATTACTGTAACGGGGTAGAATTAATTCTCTCTTTCGCGTGTTCCCTTAAGTCTCATTATCGTTCGCCGAGCAACTCCACTGAAAAGAGTATTTATTCCCCGCGCCTCGTGACCGGAGTGCAAGCAACCCGCGATGCGGAAAATTTCAAGCGATCCAACCGAAACGGCGTCGAGTTGTAACGAGTTTCTGTTTTCTTTCCTTTCACAGAAAATCGTCATTCTCGTGGCCAAGAACGTCCCGAGTTTCGGTGCAATTAGCCCGTAGGTGTTGTGACAGGAAGTTCTTAGGAACGACGGTATACACAGCGGGCACGGTTGACTTTTAATTTTCCAGCGGGACCGTGTTTACCAGAAAAATTAGAATCGGTAAATCACAATCAAAAATATTCTCGAGACACGAAAGAAATTATTCCCCGGTTCACGCAAAACGGTCCCGCATGGTGAGCCACGATTTACCGGCCAGTTCGTCCACTTCCTCTTGTAGCTTCTCAAACAACAGCTTCCGATACTCGGCGAGATCATGTATCCACGGGGACAGAAGGAATAACGCTTTCGGATGTGTGTCCCTGCCCACGGAGCCCTCGACGGACTCGTTGCCTTGAAGAATACCGTGCTCCAGCGCGGTTCTGCGACGCTTCTGGAAGCCTTGATGGGCGTGAACCAAACTGTACTCGAACTCGCCGACGTGGAACAAGGTCAGAAGTTGCATCTGCTTCACGTGAGAGTAGGTCGGGTCTGGAAATTAATGGTGTTTCATAGAGACTGTGGCATGTTTGTAATTTTAGTTCATTCACCATCTTATTGGTCACCCTAGTCCCCCCTCTATTGTACATACAATTACTGAACCCCCACATATATGGAGTGTCCGTCTTATTGGTTACCCTAGTCCTCCCTCAATTGTAAATACAATTACTGAACACCCCACATATATGTGGAGTGTACAGTGTACTAATTACCGAGTACATCGTAATTAGATTTTGGTTGTTGGATAAATAAGAATACAAACGTTCAGTAGAATTGTCATCTCGGTAAGATTTAATATTATATCTACTTTTAACAATTTAAGAACCATTGAATGGTAATTGTTACTTTCTGACGAGCGACTTTAGTTGCCCATAATATGTTCATTCATACACGGTACCTATCTTTATGCAGTTTTCGGTGGTGGCCGTCGCTCTGATGTACCTAGCGTACAGTACCTGGGTCCTACAAAGGCCCAGGAACGTTCTGAGATCGCCATCCTGGCCCCGTTTGATCGCCTTCTCGAAGTAACTCTCCGCTATGTTGAATTTCTTCAGCCTAGCCAAATAGTAACCCCATTCCCGGTAAACGATCCCTTCCCTAAAGAACTCGGACCCCTCCTTTCCCGACCAAGCCATCGCTTTTTCCGATCCCGTGAGAGGGAAAAATTATTCTGGAAAATTTGCCCCGACGCTCGAAACCGTGCGGACGACGGTTACCCTCTGCCTCCTGGATTCGACATATAATTCAGTAGGCCGAAAGAGAAAAAGAAAGATAGCAACGTCCCCGACGGAGTTCAGAGGCTCTCCATTTTACTCATGAATTTTGCACACCGCGGTCGCCGAACGGTTATCCCTTTGTGGTCACATTCTCACGAAACGGAACGTCCCTTTCCTTTCTCGGTTGACAGCGATTTTGTCTGACTTCACGTTGGCAAACGAAATCGGTGGTCGTTTAACCGGCCTGAAGTGAGTGAAGCTTGTCTAGTATACATGTGTATTGGACTTGGGTCATTTCAGAGTGCTGACCAATTCTAACTTCAGTGCTAATCGCAATCATCGCACAATCCAAACGAACTGAATACTGTTATCGTTTCGTGTTTCGAAGATTCTTGTCTATGGCGTGGTTAAATCGTGCCTCGCTAATTCCACGGTACAATATTGACGTAGTATTTAGAGGGAGGGGGCGCGTGCTCTAACTAGCGGATCGTTCTTTGAAGCGCCGCGGCTGGAGATCCAATAGACCCGCTGGGGTGTAATCCGCTTTCGACTCTAAAATACTGTCGCTCACATAAAGTTCCTTGTGGCATTAATTGTCACGCAACTGGAGAACGGGATTATATCGAAACGGCCGTAGCGAATTTTGCAGCTGCTGCGTTTTATCTTTCTCTCGAAACTTTTTGTTACCGGTATCGTCAATCTATTCCTCCGTTACGATCCTGAAACATTTAAATTTCTTATTTACATATAAGAATATAGTAGATAAGTAAGAGCAACGAATTCGAAGATCAATTTCAAGTGAACCAATTCTCAAGTGGACGCGGGCTTTTACCGAACCTTGTCTATGGACACAGTACACCCACGAGCAAAGTCGGCTTCCACTAGGAGAAAAAGTAACGTAGGGAAAGGTCCTTCTACCATTTGGTATAATTTACCAAGTGGTAGAATATTTTTCTTCTATAACGTTTTTCGCCTAGTGGAAGCCGAGTTTGCTCGACACCGTGTAAGAGTGAACAATATGGTAAATGTAGGAGCGTTGGAAATATGAAAGGGCCCAAACGGGATTCGAACTTACGACCCCCGGCGCCGAAAGCAGAGACTCTACCCACTCCTCCACGGAACCCTGCTATTTTCCAAAGATGTTATTTGCTTCTTTGTTGGGTATGGAGTTCCCGATCCCACATAAATATTGTTCTTTTTTCTGTTCCAGTGTACTGGACAGCGATTTCAACAACGTGTTACAGTCGTCGAGCGATCACGGACCATTGATATAGCTGTGCCCTCGAGATGCGGTGATGGCTCTGCTCTACAGATTCGCGCAACTGCCTGATAGCAGTGGCACGCGGGTCTTCTCGTTCGTCGTCACCAGGAGTGTGGTACGGGACCCCGAAAGAGACGTAACCAGCAAGGAGCTCGTATGCGGCTTCCAACGATGGTCCGTCGCGTTTTCACGTGGCAACAAGGTAATACATTGATATCCGCAATCTTCTGGAACCTTACACCAAACATCGGTTCGCTAATAAATCCATAATAAATATTGTCATTAGTGTCACGATGTTACAATATTTAAATTATTCATATTTACATAACTTGCCGTTTCAACAGACAGTTCCAATAAGAACCAGACCCAAAGAGGAACTTCTTTCCTTCACTTAAGCGGTTTAATGAAGCATCACTGAAATTACAAAATGAAGCAAAAAGCTTGTTAATCCGCGGCTGAACAATTGCGTATCAACCAGTTCTCCAGTTTCATACGTATATTCTCCGTTAATGCATAAAGTCCGCGTTGTAAATGTGATTCGCGAAATTGAACAGCAATTTCCGGTGTCAGTTTCGTTGATCGTTCGACGATAAAATATTATCCGATTCAGGTGAACGTTCAAAAACGATTCGTTTAAATAGATCATAGATTTCAGAGAATGATAATGCTCACGGGAAGGGAAAGTGTTCGTTCGATTATAAATACGGGAAGAACCGATGGACCAATTCGACCGTATAACGGTGAAAATTCAATTAGTGCGGGTCCGAACGGTTTTGTAAATACAGACGGCGGACAGGCGCGCGTACCGAATATATGCCGCGATTAACACGGTAATTGGATAACGGCGATATCGGGGAATTAATGATCCCGCCAATGATAATCGGGCCATCGAGAATGGCACCTGTGCGCCGCGATGGGAATAAAATCTTCGGTTTCGGGGACGGATGTCCGGGAAAATAAAAGCAACGCCTGGCTGGGATCGATGTAACTTCTGTTCTCTAATATACACCAGGAGGCACGAAAACTAACCGATCCAAAAGTCTCTGCAATTGTTAATTATTAATAGCTATTCACTAGTTCTAAAGGTGAAAATAAAAAACCTTCAGACACGTACCTTTAGAAGACGTAGCTGTTCGAAAGTTCGGAACCACTTGTCCGACAAGAATCCTTTAGTTTTAATATACAATAAATAATTAGTGTTTGAAGGCTCCTCGGCAGTAGATGTTTAGACGTCATCCCCACCACTGAGCGTTTGATTGGTTCCACGGAACCCCCCAGTGGAGGGAATGACGTCTGAACATTCAGTGCCGAAGAGACTTCGAACACTCATCGATGATTTACTGTAGTAATACAAAACACTAGAGTACATTACCAAATCGCATCTTCTCTGAATAGTACAAGCGATCTGAAACTGTTGACCAGCCACAGTATCCCAAAATAACCGATAATTGTCCAACAACGGCGAAACTTTTACAGTCCCCAATTTGAAGTGCAACCGAAAAGAACGTATCTCACCTGACAACAAAGGAAAAAAAAGAATATTGAACAATCACGCTTGGTTTCTGTTTTCGCAAGGTGCTGGGAGCCTACCTGGTATGGCGTGGTGCCTCGAGGAACCTGCGTGTCTACGTGGACTTCACGTTCACGCTACTGAACCGTGAGCATTTCTCGATGAACGAGGGTTTCTCCGGGAAACGGGTGAAGTTTACGTACGAGGCGCCCGCCCAGGGGAACCGTAACTACATCCCCGTCTCGGACCTGTACGACCGAAACTTCGCGGACACGAACGGCGAGTTTCAGCTGGAACTGGCGATGTCGAACGTGCGTACCGTCTACATGACCGAGCTCAAGATGCCGAGCAGCACATTTCCAGCCGGTCAATCGAAACCGAACAAACTAGAGACCGATTATTTCGCGTTCGGCGGTTTCGATTGGAATCTGGTCGTTTATCCGCACGGGAACAAAGAGCCAGAAGGTTACCGTGGCCATGACAGTTGCGTCAGCGTCTATCTGATGAGGCTGACAGGATTCGATCATCGTTGCCGTGTCCGTTACAGCGTCGCTTTAGGCGAGGGCGAGCGTAGAATCGATTCCGGTCAGATTGAGGATCTGTCTGACGCCGAGGGATGCGGATTCGGTTGGCATCCACGAGTCAGGTGGTCGGAGATCGCACACAAAGGTGTTGTACGCGTGTCCTTGGAGATGGTCGAGGCTAGAACGATCTGCGAGGTCGCGGTCCAGGCGCACGGACCCGCCGCATTACCAGCGACACCTTGCTACGACCGAGACAAACAGGCGTGGACTCTTCGGGCCGATCTACACTCGGACACAGTCAGACTTCACTTGGTGTACAAGGACATCCATAACGTGCCGCGGAATCACTTGAGGTTTGTACTTGTAAATTGTTCCGTTGGTATAGCAATCGCGACGGCGATTCGATCACTCATTGATGATTTACCGTATATATAATCATGTGTTCGAATTGTGGATGCAATGTTATTCGTAACAATATAATTATATTATTACGTACAACAATATTATTCGTGTGTCCGTCAGGTACGTCAGTTGGTCAGCCTATCTGCTTCGAGACGAGGAACCGAACACGGTCGCGATCAATCTACCGGGGGGCCCGTTCAGTCGTTACTACGCCCAGGAGTCCGTGGACGAGGGTATCATCATGGAGACGAATCTGGATACAAACGAGGTGAAGGACAACCGATCGTTGTTCCTCACCGACAAGGGACAGTTACGGATCCGTCTCGAGTGGAACGAGAGCCATCTGCTGTTCCAGGCGACCTATCACAAGTACGATGACGTCTGTCGTATACACAATCAGCAAATGCGGCGTGAGATCGCGTCGTTGCAGGCGGAGAACTATAGTCTCGAAAGGCAGCTGTTCAGCTATCAGAAGAGTCTTGCATACGCGCAGGCGCAACAGCAACAACAGCAGCAACAACAGCAACAACAACAAAACCAGAATCAACAACATCACGGCGGGCATCAGCCGCATCTCGAGAGATCAGCGTCCACCGACACCGAATATGCCTGACAAGTGGAACAGATGAACGAGCTACAGCAGGCCGCTGGTGGTTGCAGACGGCAATTGCCGGTCGTGCAGGAGAACGATCGTCGCGTACACCAGAATCTCGTGCGTATGATGGATCGACGGCTGAGCAACGTCCAGCTACAGCAACATCTCTACGAGCCGGACACCGGACAGCAACGATACAGGGACGGTTCGCCAAGGCAGAGCCTGGTCGATCATCATCGTCAGTCGTTGGATCATCGTCGGAGCATCGTCCAGCAGCCGAAGTCGGCGCGTTCCAGCGTTGGCAGATCGGACAGCGCCTCGGAACGCGGTAACGACCGTTACGCCGGCTATTATTTGGGGTACGTCGGTCAGGCAGCGCACAAAAGACGTAGGACCACTTTCTGGGAGACCCTGACGGGTCTCGTGTGCTCATTGGGCGCTTTGGCTTCCAGGGCTGCCAAGATGGCCACCAGACGGGGCGAGCCGCTCTGAAGAATTCTCGCGATTCGCGCGATGGAGAGACAGACCGACACCCCCTGCCCCTTCAGTGGACTGGATGTTCATTCGAACCACCCCCGGGCTACACATGTGTGACCGTATTGTGATCGTGTGAAGCAGTGAAGAATGGTTGATTGGATTCTATATATATACATATATATATACATATATATATACACACACACATTACACGCGCGTATATGTATATGTATATTCGTGGTCCCTCTATGCGTGTCAAAGCCACGAAGAAGCCTCCGGCGATCCTTCCGACCCACGGGCTTCGATTGACATTTTCTTACACGGATGAACGGCGACGAGCAACCCGGAAGCATAGCCGATCGGGAACGGGGAGATGGATGTTCGACGTGTCGAATATAGTGTTCGGATCGTTCACTCCCACGATTCGTCCGTAATGTTCTGTGGGAGAAGAATTCACCCTGGACAAGGTTAAACGGATAAAAAGCCAGTTTCGATTCTTACGCGGTGCATGCCCGTGGCCGGATTACCGATGTCCATGACAATATGGCTGATGAAAGTGTACGGGCGAGATGATTAGAGAGAGAAAGTGAGGATGATGATGCATCGTATTGTCCGGAAATTTCTTCCGACGATTGATCACCCTTTCGTCCAATTTTATTGCCGATGGAGGTCCCAAGGAGAAGACGAAGAAGGATGAAAAGGATCAGCGATATTTTCTCGTTCGATTTCCGGCCGACCTCAGCAATGTGCCAGCTCCTCCCATCCTCGGATAGGATGCTGAAAACGAGAAACCTTTTTAGACCAGGAGCTGTGTTCGTACTAAAGGGAACGAATCGCGAAATTGGAGGGAACGAAGATCGTCTCTGACGTTCACGATGATCGCTTTGACAAAACCGGACGAACTTCACAGAAACACGCATACACACAGTACACGGTAGGAGCCAAGAGGGGTTTCGATGGATTCACTCGAGAACGAAAGCAAAAGAGAAACGAATGGGAACCGCTCGTCCATCCACGATTCGATTCCACACGTTTAAAAAAGAAAAAACATGAAAAAGCACACGGACACGATTCTATCTACTTGTCAATTTACTACAACCAAAAAGAAAAAAAAACGACAAAGGAAAAAAAAAGAAAAAGAAAACAAATACCTATTTTTCCTCTAAACAGAAAAAAAAATGAAGACTTTTTTCACCTATCGTCTGCGACTTCTTTGATAATAAAGGATATCCGTGCAGCGTAGTCGCCGCGGCTCGTAAACAAGCGTAATTATTATCTGTAGTGGCGTACACACACATACACAGACACACACCTAAAACGACAAAAAAGAACATAATGTTAAATAAACATATAGAATGCAGTCGATGTTACATAAACGAAAGTAGGAGAGTCCGGAGAGAGTTGTTCGATCTAGTTCGCGGAACAATTAACTGGTGGTATAATGCAGGCAAAGATTGCCGGTGTTTTCGACAGGAGAATTGGCCTTGCACGATGCAGACCAAAAAAGGTTAGGGTAAAAGTTACTTGACGGGTTCAATTCGTTTTCTGCACGGGGTAATCCTTCGTTCCCAATTGGTTGTCAACTTGCATCCAACTTGAGAACAGATCCATAGCGAACAAGTATTTATTTTGCAGTCTACATCCTCGTAATCACTGGAAGAAGAAAAAATACCGTTAAGCACAGGAACCTCGAGGATTCGAGTATAAATATATAGCAAATTACTTAAAACATGTCGATCAATTATCGTTAAACCTTTTCAATTCGTACAAAATATAAGTCGTTGCGGGTCTCCAGTTTAACACCCCTGATCTAAGCAGATCACGTTTCGTGGTCCACCCTGTTATGTATATTACTACGCCGTACAATTTAATTCAGTATACATTCGATGCAGGTTGCTCCAGTGTCAATATAAAATCCCCGTGCAGAGTGGAGTACAACACGCCCGTCACGCGCGAGACTTTGATCGAAAGAAGCGTCCAATTTATCGTCTGGTCGAAGGTATATAGGGTAGATCAACCAGTGAATAACCGAATTGTTGAATTTCTGGACGTTTGAGATTAATACTTGAATATATTTTTTTTGAAATCTTTATAACAATAATTATTTATGAAATGCAAAATCTGTAAAAGTCCAGTAAATGACTGTTACATTTCTAAAATCTTTTTAATAAGAATTTAGCAAATTGCACTTACTAATGTTTGCTTAATACGCTGAACAAACGCTCCATTCATAAACATTTAATCATTTTTAAATTTATAATTTACATTTCTTGCCTAATGGTCATTCACTGGTATGCGGTCAATTACTGGCTGGTTTACCCTAAACGGTTATTTTCCCAACCAGCAAGCCCGGGCCATGTTTTACGACTCGCCGTGAGAGAGAGACAGAGAGTACGTGCAAGGCCTCGAACGATATCGCGTTTGAACCGTCGCATAGCTTGTCACCTAATTTCCTGTTCGTCCCCGTCGAGCACTCCAGCGATCGACGTTTCGATGTTAACAATTTAGTCTTGCTGTACGATCGAACCAGCCCCGTGCAGATTCTTCACTTCTTTCTTTTTTTTTTTTTTTGCCCCTCTCCTGATTCGTTCGTCCGACGGAAGCGCGCCAATTAACACTTCATCTCGACGAGGCGAAATAGGGTCACGACTACCGGAGAAGCCTGAACGTCTTGTCCGTGACGAAACCACCTCCTACGGTTCGAATCTTTGAAAAACCTCCTACCTAGCCCTTCTACTGACGTTTTTCTTTATCTTTCAGGCACTTCGGGAACCTCTTACGTTTTATTTTGCTTGGTCCTCCATTAAAGAAACTTGAGTTCTTCTTTGATCCCCCAAGACATCGGGAGTATCCTCCCCTGATCTTTAAGAGACTCGAACTTTCGACGAGACTCTTTCATTTTCATGAGTTCTCGACACCCTAAAAATGCTTCGCCGTTTTTTTTGTTTTCTTTTTTCGTTGTCTCGCGAAGAGATTCGCCGAAAAGTTTAGGAACTTGTGTCTATCCAGACATGACGCCGTGATCGCCCCACCCCCCGAATCTAATCGTTCGAGACCCAGGCATGCACTCCATCCAATATTATTCCGTCACTGAAATATCTCTGTAATACGGATTCAGTCTCCGCCAACCAGAACGTCCGAATAATCGTGACACAATCTGCTGCACACCTGCGACCATATTCCGATCGTGAAAGCTCTTTCAGATGAGACGTGGTACATTAAACCGTTACGTAGGAAAATCCATGAAAATACACACTGTAGACAGTTCAATTTTTCTTGTGCATCCCTGAGGGACATTAGAATTCATTTCACCGTGGTCACCAAATTTTCTATTAAAGATTCAAAAAAAATTCTCTGATCCATTTGTGAAACGATAAAAAAATATGAATCGCTAACTGTAGAAAGGGGATATCTCCACTTTTAAATTCGCTTTTTCACAGGGTACTACTTTTCTAGGCTGAAGTACACATTTTACCCCCAAAAAAGGGTCATATGTTGCATTATCCGGTGAACTATGGACGTGAATAATTCCTGTTCGTTAAAAGAAACAGGACATATCCAGGTGATGTCCCCTGAAAATTGTATAAGATCTTCACATCTACCCTTTTCTGCAGTTAGCGATTCATACCTACGACGAAGCCACGATGATCGTTAAGCGACACGGTGTCCAGGTCAACGCACAGGAGTGTCTCAACTGAAAGAGTATTCGAGGGTGTCCTTTAACAATTCGACTGCCACGTCACCCGAATATGGGTGACACGTGCATTGCAAGCAGGCTGGATTATTTAAATACCGTTACAAAATTTTCATCTAAAATTACTATCCTAATAAAAATTTTTTTCAATAAAAATATTCAAATAAATAAAGTGTGTCTGGCTCCATACGGCCTTTTTCACTGTGGAAGTCAATGTGTTAAAGAGATCCATCCCCATGAATTTCAGAGATCGCTACATCGCGCCTCGTTAACACTAGGTTTACGGACATTCCTTATACTCCTATCTCTACGGACACGCGTCAACGAAACCGCACGTTTTCTTTAAGAAACAACTTATTTTTTTAATACTCAATTTACGATAACATCCAATTGTCGTCTATCCTAGCAGAGATAGGTGTACCACATAGGGAATTTCGAGATTAGAAGGCATTCAAAATGCGTCGAAATGACGCATCCCGTAAACCTAGTGTTAAAGAAGGCCCAGAGTTCCCCTGTTGCCGGGCGTACCGATAATTCTAGTGTCACATTTCTCTCTATTTCTCTCTAATTCGCCCTTCCCTCACCCCTGTACCTGCGAGTGACATTGCACCGCTGGAACACGTGTACGAAAACGATACGCGCACGTCTCTCTCGTCGGATAGGCTAACACGATCGATAACACGGTACATGTATGTATGTACACCACTGCGTCAGTCGACGCTGCGTACGCGCGCGTTTAATAGGACCACCATGAATCATCGTTGTTACGGCGCACGTGCGCCCGCAGGTGATTTCGGTGCGCGCACCTGTATACACTCATACACACACATACACACACTAAACTCGAAGT